TTGAAAAGATAAAATATTCATTTTCGACATTATATTGTAAATTAAAAATATATAATTTAAATTATATTTATACTTATTAATAATATGATATATAAAAATATATTAACTTAGACTATAATAAAAATATAAAATATTTAAAAATGACTCATTAATAATATATATATATATATATATATATATGAAATTTTTTATCAAGAAAAAATATATTATCAATACTTTTAACTTTTCAATTTTAAAATATTATTTTAATTATTTTGATTTAACCAAAATCAATCATTTAAATTTTAAAATAAAATAATTTAAATTGTATATTTATCCTTTTAACCATACAAAATAAAAGATATATATTATAAATAAATTTAAAATAAAGTATTATTATATATGAAATATATCAATTTAAATTATAATAAAAATAAAAAAATTATAATTATAATAAAAACATATTTTATAATAACTCAGTATTAATATTTTAATATATAAATTATAATTTTTATAATTTTTAAGTAATTAAAATAAATTATTAAGTAATAAATTAGGAATAATGTAGAGATAATTATACCATTCTAAATTTGAATGGTTGAATACCATTTAGTGAAGATGATATCACGTCTAGCACTCCTCATGTCTCATTTTCTTCCCACTTTTTTTTCTTCTTCACCCAAAAACCTCCATCCTCCTCCTTAGTAGTTTACTCAAAGGAAAAAACTTTATCACCGACAATCCTAGTCCATTTCAGTAAAGGTAAAATTCATAACCTCCATCTTCAAAGCTTCAAATCGAGCCTTCAACCTCTTTATTTCACCATGATAATGAAATATGGGGTTTTAAGGAACATAGGTTTTTTAATATGTTTTCAGGGAGTTCAGGCCAGAGAAATTGTTCTTAATCTCTTTCTAACCTCTTAAGCAAGCTTTTAATACCTTCTTTGACCCTTGTCTAGTGAGAAAAGTGGGAAAAAGCTCCAAGAATAAGGGGAAAGAAAAAGTGAGTCTTGGTTGAGCCTTCGACACTTCCAGCAGCTTAGAAATCCAAGGTAACACATTTCTAACTCAACTCTACCACATGTAGATCATTAGATAAGTTTTGGCAGGTTACATGAGTTAAAAATCATGTCCATGGTAGTTTGCATCTTTGATTTTTTTCAGCATGTTTAAAGACCTATTATGATCCCCTTTATCTCTTATGAAACTTTAATAACATTTGGGAACCTTAATAGGGTCTTTGGGTAGGAAAGTTAGCCTTTTTGTCCCTAAAACATGGCATTTTTGGGTATGAGTATCGGTACTGGAATGACAGTACTAATAATGTTCATCACATGGTTTAATATAAGGGAGTTTTAGGATAGCAGCATCGATACTCCATCATTAAGTATCGATATTGATGTTTAGGTCTCGATACCTTTAGGAATGGTATCGATACTAGGATCACTTAGCAAATTCTAGTAGCCATTTTTTTTATTGATAGAGTATCGATACTCCCATTAAGGGTATCAATATAAAATATGTTTCAAAACATCGAACTTAATTTAGTATCGATACTCAGGATAGTATTGATACCCTTGTACAGAAGTATTGATACTCAGCTTAGGAGTATCGATACTAGCCTTTCTTCTCAGCTCATAATAGTCAGTTAGTATCGATACCCAGGGGTCAGTATCATTACTCGGAGGTTAATAATAATAGTAAAGGGCTTACTATCAAAACTCACGGATAATGTTTGGATAAAAAATCCATTGGGTTATGGGTTAGGTTCGAGGTACCCAATAATATCATATTACCATGGAATAACATTACAAGTGAGAATATAAATAAATCTAGAATAGTCAGAAATAATAACAATTAGGATAACATAAAACTAGCCTTGTTTATTGCTCTGGCAATAGTCAGGACATCCAAGTTCTTTTAACATAATACGATCGTCTCAGTTGGATATATCCCAATCAGTGCCAAACCACTTTAGTTTCCGACTAGACGTAGATGTCCTAAAATTGATGGAGCAAGTTGGTCGGGTGTACATTTTCGATGCAGTTATGAATCTCACCTCAAATACCCCAGGGTATTTTAGGAAAACTAGAGGGAAGAGTGCTCTAAGATGCAGAACCCTCAACCACACCATGATGTCTACTCAGCAGTTCATACTAGCATTTTACATGTGTTCATACCTATGACACTAGCCAACTTATTTAGTGAATGCATGTAGTACAATATGGTTATTAATGTGGCACTAAGCTCGTAAGCTCAGCGATCGGAATGTGTTTTTGTGTTCAGGTTTTTAGGAGACTGTCTGCTGAGCGTTATTGTCATCAGATATTTCAGATTCGCTGAGGCATTCAAAGTACGTTTTTTTATATTAGAGGGTTTGTATTATTATAGACCCGTTTGTATTTAGATGTAACTCTATTTTGTTTTAAACATAGTATTGTTATTGTTTTGGATATTATGGGAGCTCCCTCGTATTTGTAAACTTTGATTATTATGTTTTTATTTTATTTTATTTTACCTCTGATAGATTTTATATAATGATTTATAATCGTTTTAAAAAGAAAATTTTTTGGGTTAGCTACTTCTATGGTCCCATGTGATATTCTAATCCATTGGTCTTCGGGTCGGACTGGATTAGGGTATTATATTTAGTGGTATCAGAGTGTCAAGTTTATTCATTACTAGGACACGTGGGTTAGAGTCAATCAACATCTATACATGTACATGCCTTTAGAGAGTGAAGAGTTTTACAATGACTAGATTGATGATAATAACCTCTGTTTCTCTTTCAAAAAACTCATTGCAAACAACAACACTTACAGTCAGGATGGTAGAGACGAAAGCACACCTTGTTAGTAGCTGATACCTGTGACGAGTTCATCCTAGACATGAATCAATTCGAAATACCAGTAGATGTAGGATTCGATGAGGTAACCTTCTTTAAAGAACTCACCTTGGTTCTTAGGCAGATTGTTAGGGTTATACCTAGTGCCTCAGCTGTACCACCTCCTCCACTAGTACCTCTACCTTAGCCAGCAGTGGCTCCTTAAGAGTCCCAAATAGAGAGGTTTCATAGATATAAGACCATTGACTTCTACATATTAGGGGATAACAATCTTATAGTAGAAAATCAATGGCTCAGAGAGACTCTCTGTAGCCTCCGAAAATTGTACCTTACCCCTAAAGGTAAGCTCAAGTGCATCACCACCCTACTCAAGGGTGACATCATAGATTGGTGGGAGACTATATAAATAGAGTTGGAGCTAGAGAAACCATCATGGGAGCAGTTTCTATCCGAGTTCTGCCAAAAGTACATCGAAGAGACTCACACCAATGATATAAGAGAGCAGTTTCTGCACTTGGTCCAAGGGGATCGGACCGTGATGGAGTATGATTTTGAGTTTGTCAAACTTAGCATATATGTTTCACAGTTGGTTTCGACAAAGGACTATCACTATCGGAGATTCAAAAGGGTTTTCACCTCGATATTCTGTCACATCTTGTAGTAGACCCTCCTAGGGTTTGTCGAGTTGTCCCGCCAAGTAAAGATAATCGAGAGGGCTCTAAGCCAAAGGGTTAGATAGATTAGTGAGGTCGTAGGATAGAGCAGGAGGGATACTGAACCAACAAGATCAGTACATACTTCGTCCAAAAGGGCCCGAGATAGTTAGGGTTCACAGAGACCCTAGTAATGCAGACGATGATAACTTGTCAGAGCTCGGAGCGCGGAGGTAGAACTGAGTCTCGAAAGAGACCCTTGATGTTAATCTCTAGGGTGAGTGTCAGTTATTCGACCAGAATCTTCACTCACTAAGTTTGTGGTCAATGTTAGATGAGATACCCAGGGTCGTGCTAGCAGGGATCGAAGGGTTGCTTTAGTTGCAGCCCATTAGATCATTTTATCAGAGATTACCTAGGCAACACCGACAATGTAGACAGGTCAAGAACCAGTGAGGGGTGGTAGTATACCATCTGGGCAGTAGAGGAAAAGGATAACCAGATAAGTGGCTGGTTCAGAGTAGAGGGTAGGCTCTAAATAATATGCAATGAGAGCTCGAGATGAGTATGATGCAGCTGATGTAATATCAGATAACTTCACAGTATTTCTCATTCCAACTACTGTATTGATAGATCTCGGCTCCACCCATTCCTACATCTACTTTAACCTAGCTCAAGAAATAGAAATCCAAGCAGAAGACTTAGTGGTAGGTGTTCGAGTATCGGGCCCTCTAGGTCTAGATATCCTAATAGACAAGATCCACCGGCGATGCCCAGTATAAATCCAAGGACAGACCTTCCTAGAAGACTTAATAGAGTTACCCTTGTGAGAGTTTGACTTAATCTTAAGTAGGGATTGGTTATCCAAGCTCGACACTAGCTTTAACTGCAAAGCCAGATAACTAAAGCTCAAGGAAAATAATGGTACCAACTAGTGATGACTAGTGAGAATTTGAGCTAGTCAATAATCGTGTCAACTATAAAATCCCAACAGATTATTAACCAAGGGTTTAAGGCTTTCTTAGCTCATGTTGTTGATACCCAAATCTCAGTCCCAACACTCACAGATATCCGAGTGGTACAAGATTCCCCTAAGATGTTCCTAAAAGAGTTGCCAAGTTTACCACTAGATATTGAGGTAATGTCTGGTTCAGCCCCGGTTTCCATTTCTCCCTACTGCATGGCACTGCCGAAATTGAAGGAGTTAAAAGCTAAGATCTAGGAGTTGTTGGAGAAGGGGTTCATTCGATCGAGTATATCCTCGTGGGGAGCGTCGGTCTTATTCATCAAGAAGAATGATGGATCAATGATATTGTGCATCAACTATAGACATTTGAACAAGCTAACCATCAATAACAGTTATCTATTCCCTAAGATAGTTGACATCTTCGACTAGTTGAGGGAAGTGTGTATGTTCTCTAAATTTGACTTGCGGTTAGGCTACTATCAGTTTAAAGTCAAGGATACAGTTGTAGTAAAGACAACTTTAGGATAAGATATGATCATTATGAGTTCTTAGTAATGTCGTTTGGACTCACTAACACTAGCTTGAACTGTAAATCCAGACAAATAAAGCTCATGGTAGATGATAGTACCAAACTAGTGATAACTAATAAGAAGTCGAGCCAATCAAGAATTGTTTCAGCTTTAAAAGCCCAATGGATGATTGACCAAGGGTGTGAGGCCTTCTTATCTCACATGGTTGATACCCGAATCTCAGTCCCAATACTCTTGGATATCCGAGTTGTACGAGATTTTCCTGACATGTTTCCAAAAGAGTTGTCAGGTTTACCACTAGATCGGGAGTTGAAGTTCCGCATTGAGGTAATATATGGTTTAGCCCTACTGTCCATTGCTCACTATCGCATGGCACCGACGAAATTTAAGAAGTTAAAAGCTCAGATCTAGTAGTTGTTGGAGAAGGGGTTCATTTAACTAAGCATATCTCTGTGAAGACCACTGGTCTTGTTCGTCAAAAATAAGGATGGGTCGATGAGGTTATACATCAACTATAGCAAATTGAACTAGCTAACCATCGAGAACCATTATTTACTCCCTAGGATAAATGACCTCTTCGATCAGCTAAGGGAAGCATGTGTGTTCTCTAAATTCGACTTGCGGTCAGACTACTATAGTTGAAAGTCATGGATGTAGATGTTGGAAGACAGCTTTTAGGATAAGATGTGTTTATTATGAGTTCTTAGTAATGTCGTTTGGACTCACCAACGCCCCGACAGTATTCATGGACTTGATAAACCGAGTCTTTCACCCATACCTAGATCACTTCAGGGTAGTGTTCATCGATGATATATTAGTGTACTCTCGATGAGAGTAAGAACATGACCAGCATCTCCGTATTGTCCTTCGGACACTTCAAGACCGCTAATTGTATGATAAGTTTGAGAAGTGTGAGTTTTGGCTGTCAGATATATCATTCTTGGGTCTTATTGTGTCAGTAGATGGTATTAGAGTCGACCCTCAAAAGATTCAGGCCATAGTTGAGTGGGAACCACCTAAAAGTGTGTCAAATGTACGCAATTTCCTAGGTCTAGCCGGGTATTATTGTCGATTCATTCAGGGTTTTTCGATAATAGCTGTCCCACTGACCAAACTACTTTAGAAAGGAGTTCCCTTTATTTGGGATGAGAAGCGATAGAAAAGCTTCGAACAGTTGAAGGTTATCCTAACTCAGGCCTTAGACCGGAGTCAATAAAGACTTATCAGTTTTCAACAATGCCTCGTTGAATGGTCTTGGAAGTGTATTGATGCATGAGGGTAAGGTTGTAGCTTACGCATCCCATCAGCATAAACATCACGAGAGCAATTACCCCATCTATGACCTAGAACTAGTAGTAGTGGTGTTTTCTCTTAAGATATGGCGATACTACCTTAAGAAGTGTCACATCTTCACCAATCATAAGAGCATCAAGTACCTACTCACACAAAAGTAGTTAAACTTGAGACAACATAGGTGGGTCGTTACTTAAGGACTATGACTATGTGATAGATTATCATTCGAGTAAGGCAAATGTAGTAGCAGATGCCTTGAGCATGAAATCAATGACAGAGTTACGAGCCCTCTTAGTATGGTTGAGTTTAACCAGTGAATATGAGTTGTTAGCTGAGTTACGAGTCGAGTCAGAGCTGCTAGGTGAGACCAAGAGATTTCAGATGATTAGTTAAGGGATTGGGTTGAGCAGGTTTGGCAAGACGAAGCACTGGTGTTCGAGTTATGTGACGGAGATGTGTTGTATTTCAGAAGTCAGTTGTATGTACCCGTAGATGTTCAATTACGCAATAAGATTCTTCATGAGGTGCATTGCAATCCACTTTTAGTTCATGCAAGAAATAATAAGGTGTACCAGGAGCTTTGTCAATTTTTTTGGTAGTCGGGCATGAAAATGGAGGTGTTAGAGTTTGTCACTTGGTATCTAGTATATCAACAAGTGAAAGCGGAACACCAGGTTCCCTCAGGGTTACTTCAGTCTATTCAGATACCTCAGTGGAAATGGGACAAGGTGACAATGGACTTTGTGATTGGGTTATCGATGACCAAAAAGAGACACGATGCAGTTTGGGTCATAGTAGATTGTGAGATAGTGAGGTTATCTTAGTTGTACATCCGTGAGATAGTGACGTTACACGGGGTGTCGACTTCCATCATATTAGACAGAATTCCTTGATTTACATCCCATTTTTTTAAAGCCCTTTATGAATCCCTAGGCACCAAGCTACATTTCAGCACCGCCTTCCATCCTTAAACGGATGGTCAATCAAAACGAGTTATTCATCTTAGAGGACATGCTTAGGTGCACCATTATAGAGTTTCCAATAACTCCTTTGATTAGTTAAGTCAACATTAGACATGAAAATGACAATTATCATCCCTATTTATATTATTTTATTAAATAGTATGGTTGATTATAGGACAATTCTTGTTCGAATTTTTTTTTTAATTTATTAATAATGTTTATATACCTTAAAGACACAGCTGCTCAAACTCAAGATCTCTAGAAATAGTAACATTCTCTTTTACCATTGAGATAATTTGATGAGTTCATGATCCTTGTTTGAATTAAATATAAACAGTATACATTTAAGTATTTTAATAAATATATGTATGTATATTCCAAGTATTTTCCCTTCCCCAAAAATAAAAAGTTATTTCAGTATAAAACTATTTTCCAAGTTTATTTTTGCATAAATAAAACCACATGATTTGGCTCATCATCATGAGTAATAAATGATAATTATTTCATAACACGTATGCATACATATTCCGTTGAAGTTTTATAAATTGCTTCAAAGCGTGCCTTTTAGATTAAAGAAAAGAGAGTTGAAATATATAACGTTATTATATAATTAGGTACAATAGGTATTGTTTGAGCTTATAGGCATACAATGTGGATTTGAAGAAGTTGAATAAAGAAATGAAATTGAAGTTTAAGTTATCAACTCCAAGAAGATTGAACCTAGCTAATTTTCTTAAAGTTAGATTAACCAACATTTAGGTGCCCATCCTTAAATAATAATAGAAATTTATAATAATGATTAAAAATAATAATTCGAACAATGACCTCAATGTTAAAAGAAAATGTTATTTTTTTAGATGTTCTAGGTTCGAGCAGTTATGTCTGTAGGGTGTATGTGTGTTGTTAATTGATTAAGAGACATATTACCTTATAATCATCCCAAACTATTAAAAAATAAGTCTTAATATTTATAGTGATTTCGTTTCAACTGAATTTTAAGCCTCAATTTTTATCTAGCCTTTTAGTACAACTATTTATATCTGATCTATTGATTGATTAATCAAAATCAAATACTCTAGAGACTCGTTAGAGAAACAACTCTCTGAATCCAATTTATTTAATTACCAACAACCTCGGACACCTCTTAAGCCTACATCGACATCACATCCCATCATATTTGAATAATATATATATCCTCAAAATTTGAAGGCATCAAAAGACTCTATATTTAAAAAAAATATGTAGCTCTTGTATTATTTTTTTTTCTTTTAATTAGGCCCTTCAACTCATAAAACAGACCTAATTTGGCTCTTTGATCAATGTTTTTTGTCATTAACTGCTACGATGCTGATGTGACAGTTACGGTACTGGCGTGGCAGTCCATAGTGATTAATGACGTGACAGATGACATGATAGATGGGATAAATTGGTTTTTGGTTTTGTTCAAGGGGTCAAATTGATTTTTTTTAAATTTCAAGGGCTAATTTAACTTTTAAAAATAAAAGTTATTTTAAATATAAAATTATTCAAATATTTAAAAAAATACAAAAAATAAAAATTAAATTAATAAAAAAATTGAATATAAATATTAAAATTACTAAAATTACTATAAAAAGGATAAAGTATACAAATAGTCCTTCGACTATAGGGTACTACTTTATTAATCCCCTCGACTATTAAAAGTTACAAAATGGTCTTCTAACTATAAAGTGTTGCTTTGTTGAGTCAATTGACTATTAAAAGTTATAAAAAAATCATATGACTATTCATTATGTTCCAAACTCGTCCTTTTCTATTAAAACATTGGCGGTATTCTAAGCTAAACATCAAGTTGTTGATTGGGATATGATAAAATTTGATCCTAGAATCTCCAACGACTATGATATCTCAGTCATCATGTTAAGTCCAACTTAGACAACCATTAATTTTTTTAACAAAAATGGACAAAGTTTGGGACATAATAAATAGTTGGTTGACCATTTTGTAACTTTTAATAGTCAAGGGACTTGACAAAGTAACATTCTATGGTCAGAGGACAATTTTGTAACTTTTAATAGTTGAGGGGCATAATAAAGAAGTAACCTATAGTCATGGGACCATTGTGTACTTTACCTATAATATATATTGTAATAAAATGATGACTTATAAATTATTAAAAAAAATTATAAAAATATATTATAATAATATACATGCAATATATTAGACATATCACCAACACTTGTACAAAGTATTATTATTGGATTAATTAGGACTTATAAACTTTAAATTAGTCAAGCCTTGTAAATTTTGGATTTGTCGAAATTTATTAAGTTTTCTAATTATATTTTAGTAGAAAATTATTATAATTATCTTTTAAATTAGTCAATACTTACAAACAAATAATTAGAAAACATATTAAGTTTCGACTAATTTAAATTTTTTAATTCTCTATTAATTCAGTAAGAATACTTAATATAAATGTTGATGATATGTTTATATGTTACATGTATATATGTATAATACATCGTTTCAAAAATATAGTTTTTTATTTTTGTAATTTATAAGAAATTATTTTATAACATAATGGGCCTTCATTTGGGACTTCTGCCATTACAATGAATGAGAGGGGGAATCTACAAAACCCATATTGCCCCACCCGAAAGGAATGTCAAACCTGCAGAAGTTCAGTGAAAATGGCATTTTATGATCCAGTCAGTGTTCAAAAGCAGGTGCATCAATCTGAACAAGATGAAGGTCATAGTGAAGTTGAAGGAGCTAATGTAGGAAAGCCAGCAGAATTAGATACTTCAAATGATCAGCTGAGCTCTTGTAGGAGTTGTGTGTTGGATGAAGTCTCGCTAGAAGCACCTGGATTTTGGAAGCTTCAACAGGTCATGGAGAAGTTGTACATTTTGTATACGGGATAGTCTCTCTCGATTGGCTGAACAAAGGCATCATTGCACAGATATGAAAGGTGAAATAAGATGCGGTTGGTTCATTTGTAGCCAAATGAACTAACAAGTTCATTGGGTTAATGGATGTGGAAAGGAAACTGGCAGAAACCCTATAGATGGATCCATAGCACACCTACTGTGAATGCATTTGGGGAAGAACCTGATGCTGGTTCATGTTGGACTGGGATAACTATGAATTCGCTAACATCACTGTTAACGAATCCGATGCTTGTAAAATATGTATGTTTTACTCGATCCTCGTAAATTGATCTATCACGTCAAATGGTATTTTCTTTTCAATTTTTTTAAAAAAATATAATAGTTTAATACGTATATTTAACTCTTTAGTAATTTTTTTTGAGTATTTGAATAATTATTTTATATTTATAATTTAAAATAATTTTTATTTTTTATAATACTAAATAAGCCCTTGAACTTTTAAAAATATCAATTTGACCCTCAAACAAAATAAGAAAAACAATTTAGCCCATCACGTCATCAACTATCGTGAATCGTCACGGCAGCACCAGGGACTGTTATGTCAGCACCGTAAAAGCCAACGACGAAAACGTTAGTCAAAATGTCACATTGGATTTATTTTCTGAGTTGAAAAGCTACATCAAGAGAAGAAAAAATAGTAGGAGAACTACATTAGTTTTTTTTTAAAAGTACATATACTTCTTAAACCTTTTAGCCTGAAATAAATAATATAAAGTCGCAATAATACAAGAATTACATCAATATTTTAACTTGTGATAGCTTTTGATGATTTTCACCTAATTATTTGATATTATGATATAAAAGAATTACATCAAAATTAAAACAATGATAAAAAAATCGATTAAATTTAGTTCAATTTATATATTATTAATGTAATATAAATAATAAATCATTAAATATATATGATTGTTTAATATTCTCTTTAAATTAAAAATAAAATAAATCTAAATAATCTATATATTATATAAAAACAAGAAAAGAAAAGAAATAATTCATTATCATTTATTTTTACTTGATATAAATACATTTCCAGTACGCAATCTTATAACACAAGAAGAAGTTAAACTGGAATTGTCCCAGATATTTTGTAGAAATGTGAATTTTTCCTTCCTTCGAATTATAATTATTAGTACATCTATCAATATTTTAGTATTTAATTTTTTTTCTCCCTACAGACAAAGTTCGGCAATATTAAAATTAAAGCAAAATTAAAAATACAGATTGCGGTGTTAAAATTAAAAAAAAATTACAAAAGATTAAAATCGTTATAAAAAAATGGTAATAGATGATGCACATTTCAGAGTTGTATAATAAAGAAGATAATGGTAAATTTGACCCCAAAAAGACAAAATAATGGCAGAGAGAGAGAGAGAGAGAGAGCATTGGATCAGAATTTAGAGTGTACAGTGCCAAAGTTCTGCTGAGAAGAATAGGACAGCAAACTAACGGATTAGCTTAAAATTATTAAATTAAGCTCAAACTTAAAATTAATAAATATTAAAACTATACTCGAACTCGAACAAATTTGATATATTTTCAGACTTTACTTTATTAAAACTCAATTCGAACTCAAAAAAAACTTAAAACTTCTCAAATTTAACTCGATCAAAACTCCTCAAGGTTTATTCGATTTCAATGAGATTGATGAATCAACTCAAGTAGCTCACTATCCGAATATGTCTATAGTCTAATTTAGAGACCTAGTTAGAAAACAAGCGTAAAAAGCAACTAAAAATTCTATGCACCGTAGACGAGAGAAGGCACGAGAAACAAAAGATTGAGAGAAAAACGGCAGGTTTACAGGCTGTAACGCAAGACAAATAATAATATATATATAAAACCACAAAAATGGGGAAAAACGAGAGGTTAAGGTTTAGAATCCCAGCCAACTCTTGGTTTTTTTTTTTATATATAAGAACTCTACTTGGT